ACCCTGCAGCTGGGCGAAAGGCTTTTCTGCTCTGTTCGTTTCTCCACAGTGAGGATGCCTTACCTGGCCTGCACTGGACAAGTGTCACTTAGGACATCACTCAAAGTCCTCCAAGTAGCTGGTTAAGGGTTCCCAGGTGCAACGTAACTGGTTTCCTTTTTTAATTCCAAGTTTTTGTTGTTGGTGTTTGCTCCAATCATGTTCGCTGAAACCAAACGCACTGCCTTTGAGTGGATGCCAACTGTGAGACCCTATAGGACAGGGTATAGAACTGCCCCTGTGAGTTTCTGAGGCTGCACCTCTTTATGGGAGTAGAAGGCCCTGTTGTTCCCCCATGTAGTGGCTGGTGGTTTCGAACTTTTAACCTTGTGGTTTGTGGCCCAATACGGAACCAAGATGCCCCCGAGCTCATTTTCACTAGACTCTTTGAAAATAACTTTAGAACAACTTAGGTGTGCTTTCTTGTGGCCCATCCCCCGTGGATGGCCTCACAGGCTCCACTCTGAGCTCATTCAGCAATTGTCCTTAGGCCGAGCGCCATGCAAATGCTTCCAGACCCAGAGTAGAACTCTCCACTGTTGGAGTCTCGAGTGGGCATCGGATGTGGGCTTTACTCCTTCCTCTTTAAAATTAGACCTGTTAAACCATGCCAGCACTGACTTGTTCATTTTTGAAAGCTGGGTCCTCCGGCTCTCTGAAAAGAATTCCTTTTACACTTTAGAGGAGGGCATCTGAAGAGAGGCAGCATCATGTGTTTAAATAGCAGCTGGGGAGCACAGAATGTGTGTGCAGGCCACAGCAAACTCGAACGACCACCTTCTCTCCCTTTGGCACCATCTCGCTCACAAGAGTGTCTGGCCACAGCTTGGGTGGCGGTAAGTGTTGCAGGCTGCAGTGTATTTTGGCCTCAGACCCCTTTGGCCCGTCGTAACGCTTGTCGGCATGAAGGTAGTGCCCATGATAGAACCATGATGCATAGGCAGGAGAGGGGGGGTACTCGTTAGAAACCAGCCAGGGAGCTTATTCCCAGGGCCCTGCTGGGGAACGGCCTGGTAACACAGCATGCTGGAGAGCTAGGGAGAAAGGACAGGCACCCATCTGTTCACCCAGCACCCAACACCCATGCTCTGGTGTTTACTGACCTGCCCACTTCTCTGACACTGGTCATTCCGATCCCTTGGCCTCAGTGGCAGGCGAAAGGCATCTCCCCAGACTGTAAACATTGAAAGCCGCGGTGCTGCAGAAGTTTCTAGCTTATATCTCTACTTGCTTCCCTTTTCCTCTTTGTTCACTGTAGAGACTTGGGGCATTCGGTGACTTCACAAAAGGTGTGTCACCTTGGGGATTCCATCACTACGGCATTCCGATTGAAGCTAGCACTACACTGTGTCGCTCCCACAGTGAGTCTGCAGTATGATTTCCACAGCTTATGTGAATAACCCTACATTTTAAGAAGCATTTACCATTAGTTTAGCTTCCTCAGAGTGTCGAGTCGAATTCCGAGTGGGACATTGTTACACTGCTTCAGAGAACCGGAGCACGCTTTTTCTATAGCGGAAAGCATGGACCCATTTGTCCCCAGATAATGCTTATCTCTACTTAGACACCTGAAGCTGTCTCCATGAAACTGCTGGAGAGTCGCTGCGGGTTACCCAGGGGACTAGGGGTGTGGGGATGAGGGCCAAGGCTGCGCTGCGCTTGGAGGACCGTCAGGTGTGGGCCCGGGGCATTTCATCTCACTTGCCTCACGCTAGGTCCAGCCCTGCTAAAAGTGGAGTGGTGGCTGCAGTGGAAAAGGGGAAAAAAACCAAGTCACACTGGTCATTGCATATCCTGTCATAATCTGATAGAGGCCAGGGCCAAACGCCAGATGAGCAGACATGCAACCGCTCCTCAAACCCCTTTGTCCTAAGAGTTAAAACAGCCCAGCAGCACTGAACAGGGTGTGTCTAAGGCCCTTCTTGACATTGTTCAATCCAGAAAGCCATCCTATAGGAGCCCCAAACCATCATGGGAGCACTCCCCTGCTTCCGCATGCCTCACGTGCACGACCCCCACCCAACTGCCTTCTTGCTGGGTTTTTCAATCCCCCACTCACTGCTGTAGAGTCGAATCAGCAAGGTCAGGAGTTGGAAACCACCAGCTGCTCCGAGGGATAAAGACAAGGCTTTCTACTCCCATAATGAGTTACAGTCTCAGAAACCCAAAGGGGCAGGCCTGCCCTGTCCATGGGGCCACTGTGGATTTTAATCGCTATGTGGTGCAAAATGGCGAATGCTCTTGGCTGCTAACAAAACGAATGGCAGCTCAAATAAATCCAGCCCGGGGACAGCTCTAACCAAAGACGGATCCTTCTGTTCCCGAAGCCCCAGCACCTGGGAACTCCAGGGAGCTTGGTGTTCCCAGGACACACATGGGATTACAGCGAGCTGGAGTCGACCTGACTGCCGTTGGTTACTGGTTAGAACTTTTCCGCCATCTGCATCCCGACAGGTTGGCTCAACTTTTAACACTAGGGATGATGTGGCCAATGGATATTTCCAGTTGCTGGAAGCTGGAACTCTTGAGTGGCTCCAGTCAGGCTGCGTGCCTGCCTTCCTCTCCTCGCTCAGGGAGCACTCTCTCCTGGTGCTACGGCAGATGCACAGGCTGACTCAGCCTCCTCCCTCAAACTCCCCAGTTAAAGAGGTTGAGTGGGCAAACAGTTAACTATCACCGCCACCTTTTTGGTTTCTCTAATGAGGCCAGGTGACCCCCACCCCCAACCCCGCCCCCCACTGCCTTGACACAGTCTTTTCTGGGATGGTGGCTCTATGACCAGACGAATACTTCAACTAAGAGAAGCCAGAAGGACAGGCACCTCCTCCCGCTCTGCCAGAGGAAATGTTAAGCGGAATCTTCGAATCTTCGCTGCTGAGCCTGGAGGTGCGGCATAAGTCGGGGCCAGAAGTGAGCGCCTCGCTGTGTCTGCTGGCCTGGAGAAACACACCAGCCACTGCAAGCCACTGGGGGGGAATCAGCCTGGACCATTCCTATCAAAGTGCCCTGAGAACCAGGGCTACTCCCAGGAGTGGAAAAAGTGAGGGCGAAAGGGTTACTCATTGGTACACATTTTTTCCATTGATTATTTTACTTAAAGAGAAGATGTCATTTCCCTGGAAAATTAAGGGGGAAGAGGGAGAGTTTCTTTTGAATATTTTTAAACATTTGCAAATGGTTACTCTGAACTCTCTCGTGTACCATAAACAAGTGTAAACTGTAGAAATTCAGAAAATGTACAAATACAAACAAGCTCCCCCCCAAGCCCCTGGGTTAAGACAAAGAAGGGAGTATTCCATTTATAAATGGAATTCTTTGTGGATAGAATTGTTTATAAAATGTTTATACATTGTTTTACTTATTATTGGGGAAGGGGGGGAGTATTTCCCCCTAGCCTACAGAAGCTGCAGAGCTGGCGTTTGGACCACTAAAACTTTAAAACTAAAGGGAATTTTACAAATGTTTAAGGTCTTCAGCTACATCCTGGGAAAATATCTGCCCCTTCAAGTAACCTATAATCCTATCAACACACAACCCACCTACTGCCCGAGGGTCGATTCCCACCCATGACAGCCCAGGAGCACAGAATAGAACGGCCCCTTTGGGTTTCTGGGGCCGTAGATCTTGACAGGAACAGAAAGCCTCATCTTTCTCCTGTGGAACAACTGGTAGGTTCGAACCACTGGACCTGGCAGTTAACAGCCCCATGTGTAACCCACTATACCACCAGGGCTCCTTATCAACACATAAAGTCTATCAACCAGAAACAGAAGCACGTCAAATCGAGCTGGGGAGGGCACTATCATTTCCAAAGAACTACGGAGTAAGATTTCTTTGGAGTTGCTTGGGCTCCTGTACGAGAATGGTGGTCAGAGTGACCACCTGACTCTGCTGTGAGCAATCTTACAATGAGCCACTAACGAGCACGTCAAGAAGCCACTCACCTGCACCTCATCCGCCACAACTCTCAGTCTGGGCTTTTCTGGTTTGGGGTTTGGGGTTTTTTTTTGGGGGGGGGGGCGGGAGGGGGACGCAGGTGTTAGTTTGTAATGATTTCCACTTTGTCTTCCACCCATCTCCAGCGTTCACCATGCAGGCACAAAAGTCACACCATCTTCTAGTCAACAGACCCCTTTTCAATTTTCCCAGCTGTGTGCTCGGGCTGGGTTTCTGAAGGCACAGAAGAAAGACAGCACCAGTGTGCCCCGCAAATGAGCAGGGTCAGAGAACGAGAGTGAATTACAGCCACGGAGACTGGGTGGCGAGGTGGCACGGGTAACAGGACAAGAGGAAGTGTGATTTAGTGGAAGAGAGATGCTTCTCCCGTCATCTTAAATCACTCTCCTCATCACCCCACTGTAGCTGGCAAAGCCTGCGTGTTTCTGACTTTGGAAAAAAGCTGTCATTTCTTGGGGGACCCCCTTATAAAAAGAACTCACCTATCTCCATGAGCTGTGGCCGCTTTCATTACAGCATCTCCTTAATTGGCTTAAGCCAGGTTAATAGTTTTACTAATGACTCCGGTCCACACACAAGACCCTAGCCTGATTCTTTTTTCTGAAACATCTATCATCCAAATAGCCACTGCACGTTTTATAGTCTTACATTTTGGTCCCCTGCTAGATGATGTGCTAGTGGTATGATTCTTGACCTGGTCATTTCTCAACGCAGTAATGGAAGTAAAATCTTTCACCTCCTGTTCATCCTTTAATCTATTTTGAATGGGTGCTATTGGAATGTGTTTAAAATTGCAATCCCCAATGCTTTCTGACTTCCTAATGGCTTGTTCCTCTTTTTGTCGCTTGCCTTCTCATTGCTCACTGCCTCGTCAACCAGATTAAATTATGTTCATGGAGGAATCAGGGGCATTGTCAACTGAGTTGTTTGCAAGAAGGCCGAAGCCATCTGTCTTCAAACAGTGGGACTCAGAGAGAACATCAAGAAGGAAAGGTGAACCGAACCAATTTTTAATATTTTATTCTGACTGGGAAAATCTCAGCGGAGAATCACAAACCCCTGCCCTTGAGTCCATCTCAGCTCCAAGCAACCCTGGTGGACAGAGCACAACTGCCCTCGGGGCTTCTGAAACTAAACCTGTACTAGAGCAGAAAACCCCATCTTCCTCCCACCTGGAAGCTGGAACTCTTGAGTGGCTCCAGTCAGGCTGCGTGCCTGCCTTCCTCTCCTCGCTCAGGGAGCACTCTCTCCTGGTGCTACGGCAGAT